GTACACACATATGTAGCTCGCATTACTCAACAAGTGGCCGTAGAACGTTGAAATTTTGTGTATATGACTGCTATAACGTTGCAGTTGTGCAGCTCCCTTTTCGTTACAGTCGGCTGCACTAATCGTATATAAATATATATATATTGCCACTCTGTTACCTGGCTAGGTTAGCTTAGTATTTTTGTTTTTATATGTTGGTAAATTATGTATTTCTTGCTTTAAAAGTGATTGAATTATGTGGTTTCTATGTTCCTGTCAAGGGTTTTATGCCTTTAATTAATCTGCATCCAATAGTTATAGAATTATCAACAAAGTGGCGAATTAAGGTGAACCGCCATTTTTTTAACTCAGTAGAGTAGTAAATTAAGTCAATTTCTACACCTGCGTTGTTTGTTTGTCGAGTGGAGCCAAAAGTTAACTTTAAGTTAGTTTTGCGCACCGAAGAATCTACCTTTTTGTCCGCTGGCCGAATTGCTTGTTTTTCCGTAGAAACTCTAATTTTAATTATAAAAATTGTTGTTTTGAACTCTTTTAACTGTATTTGGTGTTTTTGCAGAAATACGGCTAAAGTTTTTTTTTTAGCTTGTTAAAAGGTCTTGAATTTTAAATGCATAATTAATGTAGCATTTATTGAACATTCTTTTATTTATACGCTCGAGCTGAGAACATTATATTTATGCGTTCGAGCTCCAATTTTACTCCTCGTTATACCAATGATGCGGTTTTCCTACAATCTGTGCGTCAGTTACAAGACCAACTATATACGCCACAGCATATACTCTATTCTTAGCGACTGTATTTTTAGAACCAGCTGAAATACATTTATGAATAATGCAAATATAAATACGAAAGCTATTTTTACTAATTTTATTTATCTTTGCTCTTTACAGTCGGAGAGTTTCTATCCGACGAATTTTACAGTGAATTCATGTTTCAGAATTATTGATTCTTTCTCAAATATCCACAGTATTTTCCGTAATATTTTGTATTCTGCACACTGGATGACAGATGGCCAATGACTTGGTACTGATTAACATTGATAGCGTTCTCTGGATGTCGATTCTAATGGCGGATTTCGTGCATTAAATTAGAAAAAGTTAACCTCAAATTGTAGGAAATCACCGCATCCCCCCGTGCGTGTTTTTCTTGGTGTAAGTGGTTACTTCATAAAGCTAGCAATTAGTAAATCCACTTTTCTAATCTTGACGAAAATGGAATTGATTATTTTCAAGGTCCGAAATGTCTAAAGGCGTTTATAAGATTAGATATTTTCGGTATTTTTCTGGCAATAAAAAAGATTAACTAACTATTATTTGTGGCGAATTCGGTTATTCCAAACTTTTAATATATGCTTGAAATGAATCTTTCAAATCCCTTCTTTTTTAGATATTCTAATTATTATTTATGAATTTAATTTCAGCACTTAAGTTTATCAAAAAAAAAACCTTTCTATGTCCTCTTCACATCTCCTGCCATTATTACTCTGCGGTTGATCTTTTTTTAATTTTGTATTTTATACGGGTACGCTTCTTTTCCAGTGCATGAAAACACTAATTATCTGAACTTATCTAAACGCAATCAATTTGTGTAAATGAAAGTTCGGATAACGTCTGATGTTTGATTTAGTCTGAAACTAGTATGTTCGGTTAACTGGACAGGCTTTATTGCAGTTTGGTTGGCATTTCATCCAGCAAAATGAAGGAAGTCATCGCTCTATCCTGACACCAAACCAACGCAGCACAATTGTTAAGTATGCAGACGCTCCCTCTGTATATACTGATAGGTCACTTCCTCTGATATCATTACATTTATTCTATTGGTTATATAATTCCCATTAAATCTGGATTTAATATTAAAGAAGCTTTAAAAAAATCACTGTTACTTTGCGTTTAGTATAGTTAAGAAATAGACGATAGTCATTGCATCACTCTAATTATTCGTAAGTAAAAGATATAATTAATGTGACTCTTGAAAACTCTTTTATTTTATGCTAGTTTTATCTGCCGTTCGATAAGGTATCTTCTCCCTCCTTTTCGAATTGTTTCGTGGTGTACCTAGAAGCACGTTCGAAGCGTTTTCGAGAAGTCTGGAGTTCGAATCCCGGAGAAGGCACTGCAATTTTTTTTCTGTTTCCTGACTTCGAAAATAATTCTAAAAAAGTTATAAAAGTATTCAAAGTAAAGAAAAATAAAATATTTTTATGACCGCGTTGATAAGTGATAAAACTGTCGTCATACTAGCCCAATAAACGATTCCAAAGCTGTAAAATTTAAATACTTCCTTAAACGTGTAATAAAATAACGTTTTCGATATAAAATTCATAGGCTTAGAATTTTGAAATAAAGTACTTTATCAAATCCATTCACACAAAATCATAACAGCATATATATGATTTTAGAAACAACATCAACATATCAGGTGATAAATTTGGCAATATATGTTTTTTTAAAGTATCGCATCGCTATAATAGCTTTAAGTATATTAGGCAGATACATCCGAGATATAAATTTCAATTTTTGATTTGTATTTAAATTTAATTAAATAATTATTTATAAGGAAATCGAATTTCAAGAAAAGTATTTCTTTTAAAACTATAGTAATTTTATTTAATTTTCCTCATCAAATTTGAAAGTAAATTAATAAAAATGTCCTCAAATGATCAATAGTCTTAAAAATAATTAATCTGCTTCGTGGGTTAAAAATTTTCTTTCTTTAATGTGAGCTCTAAATTCTTGATATTTAATCACTGTTTTCAATAATGAACGTTGTATACAAAATTTATGTTTTCAAAATACATTTTGAATTTTTTTTTTATCCTGTTGTTATGATATACTCTCTTTTATCAAAATAATTTTAACTTCCTCTGCATTCTAAATACTACGCGAAGAAATAAGAGGATTGAAAAGCATTGTAACAAAATAATGGTATAGTACCTTAATAAACAGTATAACGCCTGCTATTATAAACGACCTGCTTTTAGAATGCAAGTACCATACTTTTTACTCCTCTCTCATTTACTGAAATAATCATTTTTTAATTTAAAAATTTACGTTGGTTTCTAGTTACTGTTTGCGATGAAACTATGGTTATTAATATTATTTAACATGCAGGAATTGATATTTTGAGAGTAACTCTGAGCATATACATGAACTCTAAAATGACAATTCGTACTATAAACTCCTTCTCTTTCTAGAAAGATGTTCGGTAAAATGTATTTTTTTCCTATTTAAAAGAATTATCCAATTTTTTAATAGATTATCTGTAACATCAGAATTATTTTTTATTTTATTTTAATAAAATGCATCAGTAATAAGTAGCTTCATAAAAATGACCCTTTTTTTCAATCTAACGATGTTAACATTACTCAATTCTACATGCAATATAAAATATATTTAGAGGTGCTTTTATTTTTATTCTTTAGTACGTAAAACACATTTTCTGAATGCTGAGTATTGAGAATGCATTCTGGATTTGTACAGGCATTAAAAATTGCTCTTTGATACATGCAACATTTTCTTAATTCTTACAACAAAATAATAATTGCATTGAATATAAGTTTGTCCATGAGTTACTGGTTCGAATGCTGCCTAATTCTAACATAAATTCGTAATCCACTAAATCCACAATCCACTAAATGTATGCTTGTAGTATCTATATAATGAAATATATGTTTGCAGTATCTGTGATTCGATAGATGTCCTTTAGGAGAATTTTTACTTGAAATGTTGATTCAAAAAAATGCAAAGGAAGAAGATTATTTTTGCATATAAAACATATAATTTTCAGTACGATAGTTACTTTATAGCTTCAGAAACACAAATTTAATTAAAACTGTATGAAAATTTACTAACAGCAACAATGTGTAACAGAAATTATTTTTTGTCTGAACACAAAGTCAATACTTTTATCATAATTAAAATAAATTAAACATATTTGAATATCTAGTTTACATATTTATGCATGTGTGAATATTAATAGACTGAAGACAACATGTATTTAAACTTTTCATTAATAATTTACAGGATATTTATTGCGTTTTGAACATCTGCATATTATTGCAAAATATTTGTAGCATGCAAAGTAAACTTATATAGTGTATACATTTAATGGATCCCATAGATATGTACAATTAACGAGATTTGGCTTTACAGAAGGTGTTATTTTGCTATTGGGAAAAGATTTACTTTTGACCCACATTAATATAATTAGGCATTAAAAGATTAAAGGCATTTTTAATTTAACTCTGTACTTCTTAAGTTCAACAATTAAACCGCGTTATTTAGAGAATATAACAAACAGGATAGCATTTTGAGTTAAATGAAATGAGCATTTGAGAAGCCAGAGATAACTAAAAATGAAATGAGGATAATAATAAGAAGAATTAATGATATCCACAATATTCAGCTTAATATTGCTATGCTTGTAATTATATATTGAGCAGCCCTTCGTTAATTTTATGTTCAACCTAAAATAGTTTCATGATGAAAAATACATATGTCGCAGTGGTTTATTATAATTTAATTCTTTTAAATTCATTTAAGTATTTAATAAAATAACAGTTTAGCCTTTCTCACTTTTATTCGGCAAAAAGGTCTTGCAACTCTGTTATTTATCACAACTAACAGAAAGTAATCTGCAAGTCATATTTCATAATATCATCATTAGGTATACACTTATAAATTTCAATACTAGGAAGTAAGTAAGGATCATAATAATAAGGGTAAAAATTAATATACTTTATTCAACAGGTGATCAAATATAGATTAGCTCACTTTTAAAAGATATAGTCAATTTTATTTTGAAAGTAAAAATTTAACATCAAAATTTCAATATTACATATTTACCATAAACTTGACGACTGATATTTACTTATGTGTAATTATATGTTTAGTCATATGTCTATGTAACTGACAGCAACTTTCTAACTGCTATAGGATTTTACCTCAATTAGAAAGCTTTGAACTAGTCTGAAATAAATGAATTATAAATTTTGTACTTACCAGTACCAGCTGGCACATAAGTGGGCTGAGGGTGAGTCTCGGCAGCGGCAAAAGTCCTCAGAGTGTACCCATCTGAGTGTGAAAAACCATCCATGGGGGCCCGTGTCCTGTCTTCGGTGGAGAGGTAGGTGACAGGTTGGGGCCCATGATGTTCCATATGTCTCCCCGAATAGGGAGCATAATTGCACCACGTCTGTGGGGCGAAAGTTTGGCAAGTGTCGGTGGATGCGACGGTGCTTGGACCAGCGCTGGGCAAGTCATAAGTGTTGGACCAAAATTTTATAGGGGGTTTTCGGTCCGCCCTGGCATGATGATCATTGTAGTAATAGCTGGGCGTCATGCTCTCTCTGCACAGCGACGACTGGTTATACTGCGACGGGTGACTATCAAATGCCGAGTGATTATCGTAAGCCCCCCAGGGCTGGGGTGTAGGGTGATGATGACTGTGGCGGATGACCCCACCCGCTGCTGCCGCACCCCCGAGGCCTCCGCCGCCCCCTTCCACCACCCCTCCGCACTCGGAGTGACCGTACGCCGAAACCGCCAGGCTGGATGCTTGCACACGTTTCGCTGGAATGTGAAGAGGACCGGTGCTGGCCGGCTGGACAACTTCAACGCTGGACCGGCTATTCGAGGTTTCCTCATACAAGCTACCATTCATCGTAGTCGAAGGCTCGGCCTACGGAAGAGTAAACAATCACCCGACAACATCTTAACACATTATAAATATGCACCAAGTTCAAAGAAAATGATCACAGTATCTGGCAGTATTTTGATGCTTTAGCTTTACAACTGATTCACTTTTCAGGCGGAAAGTCCGAGCGAATTTCTGTTGAGCGTCGTGTTTACAATTTTTGTTGCCTAATGTTGAGTGGAGCACGCGTCGAGAGCAGCGCGTTCGCTCAACAAGTCGGGAGAGAGTGTCGGCGAAGTGCTGCTGCTAGTGCCATCGATTCGCCGGTTCTGGAATGCCCGAGGCAAAGAATCCTGAGCTCCTGTCGGAGCCGCGGTCGCCATCTAAATATGGGAACTGGGAAAGGCGCGCACTGCTGCTGGATTCAGGGGCGCTCTTCGCAAAGTATCATTGGCCAACGCGGGTCACGTGGGGAGCGGGGATCATTAAAAGTAATATATATATCCCCGACTCTGGGTGCCGCGGATCAGAGAGATGCCCGCTGCCGCCGCTTTTTGAACTTCCTGTTGTTTGTTCTCTTCTACTTTTCGATGCACTTCGCTTGCCTTCACTCTTATTTTCTCCCCTCAGTTTCTTTTCTTTCAACGTCAGGGTATCTTGTGAATATTTTTTGCATTAGAAAGCAATATTCTTCCTAAATACCCATTCCATAGACGTTTTCTTTCAAATTCTATTTATCTAATTAATTAGTTAAACTAGTATAATTTTAAAGAAATCCGTGAAAGAAGTTTTTAAAAGGATTCAAATATTGAAGTGAAAGATTTCAAATATGTGCGTGTATTTATTCTTTAATTGTTATTTAAATGTGTAACCTTTTCTTTTGTTTTCACTCCTTCTTTTCACAATTAAATATGTTCTTTTTAGAATTTTCTTTCTCTCCATTTTAAATATTTAACAAAAAATTATCTTCCTAATTTTTGAAGTTTTTAAGGGTTTAAAATACCGTTCGAATTTTTTTTTTAAGTGGTATCCTTAGGAATTGAAGCGTTTATGTAAATCAGTTATTCTATTTTTTACAGCATTAAATTCTTATTTTCATTTTTTTTAATATGAAGTTATCTTTTTGAAATTTAAGACACACTTTTTTATTTTCATATTTGGGCTTCTGTTTTTACACTTTAATAACATTTTTGAACGATATTTTAATTGCATAATTAATTTTTATTTTTTTTTCCACATATTGAGCTTAATTAAGCTTACTAAACAAAACTTTAAATTTTGAAAAAAGAGAAAAAACATTCTTTGACAAAAAAAATTTTAATTTCTACATCAAATATGCGATTCTCTTACTTTGAAGGGAACTTCATCATTACATTGGCAAAAGACATCTCTCTAAGCTTTTGGGGCAAAACCAGTTATAGTCGACATAAGTATTTCTACATGTATAAATTTCAAAAAAATAAATCTTGTATTATTTTTCTGAAGAAATTTTAAATTCGGTTGATAAAGTTCACCCCCTTTTTTTGGTGTGTGTGGGTGTGCATGAATTATTCAAAATTTTCTAAATAATATCCACTGATTTTATGAACGTGGTTTAAGAAGACGGAAGGTTAAGCTAAACGTCGAGACAAAAATGGCCTTAATACCCGATTTTTATACTTCTATACAAATTCATGAATAAAATTTAATATTTTTTAATGGAACTCACTAGCATGACTCAATTTTCAAAACACTTTTAAGCCTTTATTTACACTGCCAGTTACGTTCTCAGAAAGCAATGCAATGTTTTTATCATGGAAATTGTTATCTCTCTTATAATAGTAAAATTTAATAATTTCCTAAATTTTACTTTATAAAAATGCAATTAAGAATAAACATGTATAATTTTTAAAATATCAAATATACATTATACTCTATGCTGATCTCCACAAAGCACAACTTGTGACCAAGTGGTAAAGACTGCTGACTACTAGTAATTTAACCTACTTTGGATTCAGTCCCAGGCGACCGGGCTGGCTTAGATGGTTTGATTTCCGTAGTTCTCCCCCGTGTAACTTAAATACGAACCAGTTTTTTTTTTTTTTTTTTTACCAAGGCATCCCTCTTCAGATCGCCCTTGTGGCTTTGCCATATCCTAATAACCTAATCTAACTTGGTCTACTTAAAAGATATTTAAATTAGTATTAACTCACGTTCAGTATTAAATCAAAGTATCTTTCTACTACATTCGCTTCGAAAATTAAATCAGTTCCTATGCCGTTTGAAGTTAAATACGTAGATACAAATATACTCGTAGTTTGAACTTGCTATATTTTGAACTTTGGCACACTTTTAATCTCATCATAGCGAGGCGGAGTTTTCAATAAGAAGCTTAAACTTCCTATTTCGTAATGCTATAACACACTCTGAATATTAGTACTATAGTTAATAGACACGTAAAAGGACTGGCGCAAGCTCTAGGCATAGGCAAAACTTTTGAAATCCCTCCCACTGCAGTTCACAAATTGATCGGGACACGTCCCACATCGAGTAGAAGAGGTAAATATTACAAGCATATTCTGTTAGAATCGCAATGCAAGCTAACAGGTTCAGTAAAAGTTAGACCAAGTCCTAATCATAAAAAAAATTCTAATATTGGCTACAGGTTTGATGCTAATAGTAATAGCATCTTTTTCCATGGACAAGAATGCTCTGGATTCGAGACCTAGCAGAAGATTCCACATAATTAAAACATTCTTTCCTTATACCCTTGGGGTAAGTGGTCTGCTCGTTATAAGGTATTTCTCCCACTTTCCTAGCGTATCTTCATCGTGTAGTGGTTGTGCACGCTGGGCCGGTATTCCAGAGGTCCGCGGTTCGATTCCCGGCGAAGGCGGTTGCTAATTTTTCATCTCTCTTGCTTCCAAAAAATCTTAATATCTCTACAGTGGCGCCCGAACTGAAAGGGTGTTGGATGAGGATTCTCCACACCCAGGATTTGGCGATTAGTTCCCCTAAAAACCCGAGTCGCCCCTTAAAAAGGGGAGTATATAAGGTATTTCTTCCACTTTCCTAGCGTGCCTTCATGGTGTAGTGGTTTTGCACTCTGGGCCGGTATTTCAGAGGTCCGTGGTTCGATTCCCGAAGAAGATGATTTTCAATCTCTCCGGCTTCCAAAAATACCTAATGTCTCTACAGCGTATGGCTAGCAATGGAGAGGTTCGATTCCAGTGAGGGTACAGTTAATTTTAAATGATTAAGCCTGACGCAGAAACTTAAAGATTACATAAAACCAAGTCTTTAGGAATATCGGAAAAGTATACTTAATTTGCATTATTCGAAACTTTAAACTAAGAAAAATTCTTCTATATTCCAAAAACTTTTCTAAAGAATAAAGCTATTTCCAGACAAGCCTAATATAATAAATTCTTGTTCATTTGGATTCATAGCAACAAGCAAAACAGCTCGAATTATAAGATGTTCGAAAGCATTCTGGAAAATCCTTTCTTCTCAGATGAAAGTTTAAGGACCTTCAACTAATGTTAGAATTAACCGAAGATTTGAGCTGGTGAAGGCTTATTGGATACGAAAGTGATCTAAAATGTAGTTAAATTGCGTGATATGGATATCTGAGCTACAGTATTTGGTAACTTTTTAGCAAACTCTCTACAATGTTTCTTCCTATTAATAACATAAGTATATAAATTTAAAAGACTCCTCATTTCAACACATTTTATTAAATTTCATGGCATAAATCTCCGTTTTAGAGATTCTTCATGCATAAAGCTGTCTTTGAATTTTCAGCATCTGAATGCACATTTCCGTTTGTCTGTTTATGTTTTATAGAAAAAGAAAAGTTATTTTGAATATTTATTTGTTAATAGCTGCACTTTCGAAAACAAAATATTTTCAACGAGCAAAACTCAACACTAGAAGAAGAATAAAAGAGGGGAAAAAAAATATGATAATTATGTTAGATATCTATATATTAATTATATTATTGCATACTTTTAAACAATATTAATACTTTTCGTACATTCTTATTGGATGTTGCCTTAAAAAGGTCGTTGTAATGGCAACTTACATGTATACTATGGAAACACGTTTGGACGGGATCTTTATTATGTCCTTATTTTTGGAATTAAGGGCAATGCAATTGATCACATTCAAGACAGACAAAAAGTTATAACTTCCTGAAATAATGACATTTATTTTACCTCAAAGGATGCCCACTGAAAATTTTCCAGATTAGGAGGGGGGCAAAAAGAGGAGACAAATAATAACATCAATAAATTTTTAATTATTTCCTTAATTTGGAGCTTTGCAAGTAGGTTATTAAATAATACTATACTAATGCAGAAACATACACTATATATATTTTACACATGCATCTTAAAAAAAATTTTTTTTTACTTGCTTCCATTACATTAAGTATCCCCTATCCCATTCCGACTGCCCATGCTTACTTTATTAACTGGCAAAAATAGTATCACAAATTACTTTTCTGAAAACTTTAAATAACTTCTCTTGAAAACAACTTTAAGTGATAATTTTTTAATTAACCTCAGTATTAATTAAAATTAAATTCAAATAATTTACATTAATTTAGATCAGTGCTTGAAATGCTTAGAGTTTGTTATCTGAATATCATTGCATAAGCATTTACAGCCGCCCATCCGATATGGAAAGAGGGGTGGAAGATCCTCTAAGCCGTCCCCTGAGGTGCTCTCCATAAAAATTGAGGACGACATTGAGTAAAGTCGCACTGTCACCTGTATTGTGCTCAAACCTCTTGCCAATGACAGGAGCAATCTTGCACTCCTTACCACGGGCTTATTCGGGTGTTACTTTCAGACATTTTATAAAGTTTTTTCCCGCCCTTTTAGCGTGCCTTCGTGGTGTAGTGGTCTGCACGCTGGGCGCGTATTCCAGAAATCCGTGGTTCGATTCCCAGCGAAGGCGTTGCTCATTTTTCATATCTCCTGCATCTAAAAAATACTTAATATCTCTACAACGTGAGATAAGTAATAGCGACAGCATTTATAGGTTTTAAATTACTTTACAGAATAAAATAAGATCGTTGACAGTTTATTATTACAGTATTTCATAAAAATTCAAGGATTTTGTGATAGTATATATTCCATATAATAAATTATTAACTTTTATAGTTCTTAAAGATTAACTGAAAATACTAGCATATAGGACTTTAAGAATTTCAATGTCAGTACCTTTGATACGGGTCAAACCAGAAAAAAATCCATTAAAAAATTAATCTTTTCCCTCCTACATTAATAAGCTTTCTAATTCTTTAAACACGTCCATTTTTTACCAATTAGTCTTGGAATAGTTTAAAGTAACGAAATATAGTTCAGAGGGTAAAACTATACAA